TTCACCCTTGACTCGGGGGCTTCCCGCTCCTTCTTTCGAGACTGCACCACACTCACGCCGCTTGGTCGGCCAATTGCAGTCTCTTTGGCAGACCCCTCTGGGGGCCCTGTCCTTGCTCACTTCTCCACTGTCCTCCCGTGTCCGGCGGCCCCCTCTGGCACCCTGTCTGGTCTTTACCTCCCCTTGTTCTCTACGAACTTGGTGAGTGGTGCTGACATGCAGGATGCGGGGGTTCACCAGTTCACTCCTGCGAGTCAGCGGGTGACCCACTGCACAGACGCTCGGACAAGCCGACACCTGGCCACGTTTACTCGTTGGCCGGGGTCGAGCCTGTACACACTGACCACTGCGTCTCCTCCAGTTGCTGAGCCTGGTAGGGTAGCTGTGTCGGGTCAGGTGTTTGCTGCAGCGTCCAGGTCTGGTCCTGAGTCTGCCCCCTGTTCGTGTCGTCTCCTGTCTCACGAGACTCTCCTCTGGCACCACCGCCTTGGTCACCCCTCTCTGCTTCGGCTCAGAGGCATGGCCTCTCGTCTTCTTGTTTCTGGTCTCCCCCGGTCCCTCCCTCCCCTTCCTCAGGGCCCTGGCCCTACCTGTGTCCCTTGTGTCGAGGGGCGCCAGCGTGCTGCCCCTCACTCCTCCCAGTTTCCTCCGACAGAGGCCCCGTTGCAGACGCTTCACATGGACGTGTGGGGCCCAGCCCGCGTCCGTGGACAGGGTCACGAGCGCTACTTCCTGCTGGTTGTTGACGACTACTCGCGTTACACCGCAGTCTTCCCCTTGCGCAGCAAGGGTGATGGCACTAAGGTGCTGATCGACTGGATCCGCGCAGCTCGTCTCCAGCTCAGGCAGAGCTTTGGCTCGGACTTTCCTGTTCTGCGTCTGCACTCGGACAGAGGCGGAGAGTTTTCCTCTGGCCTTCTGAGAGCCTACAGTCGCGCACGGGGCATCCGTCAGACCTTCATGCTTCCGGACTCTCCGCAGCAAAATGGGATTGCTGAGCACCGCATTGGCATGGTCATGGACGTCGCCCGTACGTCCATGATGCATGCGGCTGCCCCCCATTTTCTGTGGCCGTTTGCGGTCAAGTACGCGGCGCATCGGATCAACCTTCACCCCAGGGTCTCCAGGTCGGAGACCTCCCCAGCCTTGCTGTGGACGGGGAAGGTTGGCGATGCGTCGGCGTTCCGGGTCTGGGGATCTCGGGCGTTTGTCCGCGACTTTTCTGCGGACAAGCTGTCCCCTCGTGCTGCTCCTTGCGTCTTCCTGGGGTTCCCCCCTGACGCGCCTGGGTGGCAGTTCTACCACCCCACCTCTCGCCGTGTTCCGACCTCCCAGGATGTCACGTTCGACGAGTCGGTCCCCTACTACCGCCTCTTCCCCTACCGCACTCCGTCCCTCCCCCCACCCCCGCTCTTCTTTGTACCAGGTCCCCCCCAGGTAGACCCCCTCCCCCCTCACGGTCCTGCCCCTTCAGGTGTGTCCCAGGTAGATGCAGTCAAGCCTGTCGAGGTCACAGGTGACTCTGGTGCTGCTGAGGGTGCTGAGCTTGGGGGTGTTGTGCCTGGGGGTGCTGAGCCTGGGGGTGCTACGCCTCGGGGTGCTTTGCCTGGGGGTGCCGGGCCTGGGGGTGCTGAGTCTGGAGGTGCTCCGCCCAGAGGTTCTCCGGGTGCTTCGTCTCGCCGGGAGCCACTCTCTCCACAGGAGCTGCGCGAGTGGTTTGCCCGGCGCTGGAGCCGTGCAGCTGGTGTTGGAGGTTCTTCGGCTACTGGGGGTGCTGAGCCTAGGGGTGCTGAGACTGGGGGTGCTGAGCCTGGGGGTGCTACGCCTGGGGGTGCTGAGCCTGGGGGTGCTGAGCCTGGGGGTGCTGAGTCTGGGGGTGCTGAGCCTGGAGGTGCTCCGCCTGGAGGTTCTCCGGATGCTACGTCTCGCCAGGGGCCACTCTCTCCACAGGAGCTGCGCGAGTGGTTTGCCCGGCGCTGGAGCCGTGCTGCTGGTGCTGGAGGTTCGTCGGCTACTGAGGGTGCTGCTGTCGTGGGTCCCGGAGGTACTTGTCCTGGGAGTACTGGAGCTGCTGGGCCTGCAGGTTTGACTGGAGCTGGTGCTGCTGAGGGTGTTGGCGCTGAGACTACCACTGGCGGTCCTGCTGGGGGTGCTCCTGTTGCTGCTGGAGGTTTTGGAGCTCCTGGAGGTGCTGCTGGAGTAAGTGCTCCTACTGGAGGTGCTGCTGAGGGTGCTGGCGCTGAGACTACCGCTGACGGTCCTGCTAGGGGTGCTCCTGGAGCTGCTGGAGGTTCTGGAGCTACTGGTGGTGCTGCTGGAGCGGGTGCTCCTGCTGAGGGTTCTGGTGCTGTCCCTGCTGCTTCTGGCGTCGCCACGCGGCCTGGACCGTACTTCGCTCCACTCCTGCAGCAGGTTCTCGGTCTTCCACCTTCTACTAGTCCTCCTCCTCCCTTAGAGTATCCACAGCCTGTCCTGTCCCAGCTACAGTTGCAGCCTACCTCCCCTTTGCCTGCTCCTTCTCCCTATACTGGTCCTACTGCAGGTCTGGCTGAGCGTCGTGAGCCTGCGTCTCGCCCTGCGTCGCCTGTCCGTGCTACTCGCACTAGTGGTCGCGGTTCGCGTCAGCGTCCTCCTCCTGTCCCTGGCACGCACCGGATGTCTCTGCGTCCGTCCACTGCTCCTCTGCGTGCCCCTTTGCCTTCTCCTCCTGAGTCCTCTTTTCTTGCTCTTGCCGACCCGGAGTCGGACTCTCTTCGTGCTGCCAGTCCTACTGTCACGCGTCTCCTTGCTACTGTTGTCACTGACCCTTCTTTCGAGTCTACTGCTGCGTCTGCTCACGTTACTGAGCTCGTCGACTTTGCTGCTCGCTGTCGCTTAGACTACGCTGCTAGTCTTGTCGCTGAGTCTGAGTCTGTCTGTCCTCCGTCCGTCGGGGGTGTGTGTGCCCTTGGCACGGACGTCCTTGAGGACAGGCAGGAGGAGTTCCAGTGTCTGGCAGCTGCTTCACCTCATCTCGTGTCCGTACTTCTTACCCCTGGGGGAGACCCGAATGCACTTGACATCCCGACTCCGCGCTCTTACGCAGAGGCGATAGAGGGTCCCTACTCCTCTCAGTGGCAGGCAGCTATGGATGCAGAGATGGCTTCCTGGAAGTCCACAGGCACCTACGTTGACGCTGTCCCCCCTCCTGGGGCGAACATCGTCAGTGGCATGTGGATCTTCAGAGTGAAGCGGCCGCCGAATTCTCCGCCTGTCTTCAAGGCGCATTACGTGGCTCGTGGCTTCAGTCAGCAGCAGGGAGTTGACTACTTTCAGACCTTCTCCCCCACCCCGAAGATGACCACTCTTCGGGTACTGCTGCACGTTGCTGCTCACCGTGACTACGAGCTGCACTCTCTTGACTTCAGCACAGCTTTCTTGCAGGGCAGCCTGCACGAGGAGATCTGGCTGCGTCGCCCACCTGGCTTCACTGGGTCTTTCCCTCCTGGTACCCAGTGGAGTCTCCGGCGTCCAGTCTACGGTCTTCGCCAGGCGCCACGTGAGTGGCGCGACACACTGAGGACTACGCTTGCGGCTCTTGGGTTTGCTCCTTCTACTGCCGACCCGTCGCTGTTTCTGCGCACCGACACCTCTCTGCCGCCGTTCTACATCCTCGTGTGCGTCGACGACTTGGTCTTTGCCACAGCGGACACTGCTGGACTCGCCTACGTGAAGTCCGAGCTGCAGAAGAGACACACGTGCACTGACCTGGGTGAACTGCGCAGCTACCTTGGCTTGCAGATCACCCGGGACAGAGCACGCCGCACCATTACCCTGACTCAGTCACACATGGTGCAGCAGGTCCTTCAGCGCTTCGGCTTCACGTACTCCTCGCCTCAGGCCACTCCTCTGTCTACTCGCCACTCGCTCTCAGCTCTGCCTTCGGATGAGTCCGTAGAGTCGAGTGGCCCGTACCCAGAGCTTGTTGGCTGCCTCATGTACCTGATGACCTGCACACGACCTGACCTTGCATACCCTCTTAGCATTCTCGCACGCTATGTTGCTCCTGGGAGACACCGACCAAAGCACATGGCTGCAGCGAAGAGGGTGTTGCGCTACCTGTGCAGTACGTCGGGCATGGGGCTAGTGCTTGGAGGGCGGAGTCCAGTGGTCCTCACTGGGCACGCGGACGCTTCTTGGGCTGACGACCAGGCTAAGCAGCAGTCGTCACAGGGTTACACCTTCAGCCTTGGTTCCAGCTCTGTTTCGTGGCGGGCTACTCGCTCGTCTTCTGTTCTTGGCTCCAGTTGTGAGGCTGAGATCTACGCCGGGGCCATGGCTGCACAGGAGCTTCGCTGGCTCACCTATCTGCTGACCGACCTTGGAGAGCCGCCTCGTTCTCCTCCAGTCCTGTACGTACACAACAAGGCCATGCTGGCCTTGTGTCGAGAGCAGCGACTGGAGCACAGAACAAAGCACATTGCTCTCCGCTACTTCCTTGCTCGTGAGCTACAGCAGCGTGGACAGTTGCGGCTTGCGTACGTGGCCTCTGAGGCCAACAATGCTGATGTCTTCACCAAGGCACTTCCGCCTTGTGATCATCAGCGCTTCTGCACTCAGCTGGGTCTTGTGCCCGTCTTGCCTCACTTGTTCTCCTCTTGACCTTGCTTGTACTCTCACATATATATATATACCTGCCCTTGCTTGTCTAGCTTTATATATATGTGTGTACTCTTGCATGTGAACTGGCCGTGTGGCCTTGACCCTATGCTCGGACTGTGTGGTGACTTTGTGATCCACCCTGAGCTTGCTTTGCTTTGCTTTACTTGACTGGTCTTGTGACCCCTTGTTCTCCCCCACTTTGCCTATGGGGGTGTGTCAGAATGCTATATAGCTTATACATTTGTGTAGGCTATAGTGGGGTATCCCATAGGGGGTACAACCCAATTAGGGTTAGTACTTATACTCACTCATTTCATAGTTGATTCATTCTCGTTTCAATTCCCACAGGCTGGCCATTTTTACGATCGCGAATATGGCTGTCGCAACAGCATCGTCGTGTGCGTAACCATCATCGATATGAGCGTGATGGAGAGCGTGAGGGCAGGCGTGAGGGAGGGCTTGAGGGCAGGCGTGAAGGCAGGCGTGAGGGCAGGCGGGAGGGAGAGCGTGAGGCTGAGCGTGAGGGAGAGCGTGAGGGAGAGCGTGAGGGAGAGCGTGATGTGAAGCGTGAGGGAGAGCGAGAGGGAGAGCGTTAGGGAGAGCATGATGTGAAGCGTGAGGGAGACCGTGATGTGAAGCGTGTGGGGGGGCGTGGGGTGAAGCGTGAGGGAGAGCGTGATCTGAAGCATGATGCGTCTTCTCCCTCTACTTCAGCAGGTGTTCGTGCGGCGGATGCACACAATGTTCGAGGGCATGAGGAGAGTGGGAGGGAGAGCCGCGGCGCTGAGCTAGAAGATCAGAGGGGGGTGTCAGGGAGGGTGAAGGCACGGTCCAGAAAGGCCGGAAAGAAGGCCGCTGCTGAGGTCAAATCTTCTGATGGAGAAGATAGTTCTGAGGAGGAATCAGGGAGTTCATCCAGGAGCGAGGAGAAGTATGATGAGGAAGAGGACGAGAGTGATGACGCTGAAACTGGGTCCGGGAGTGATGACGTCGGTAGGAGAGGGGGGAGGGCGCGAGGAGCGCGCAACCACCGCTATAGCGGAAAGCGTGGTCATGCAACCGGTGGTAAGGCTGGTAGTGGACGTAAACGGCAGAGACGTAGAGAGTGTGCTCAAGGAAAGCGAGCAGATACTGAGGGTTACGCCCGGCGGCGTTGTAAGGAGCGTCCTGTTGTGAGACAGGACGTTGGCTTCTACAATGAGATGAGGACCATGGTGAACTCGGATGATGCTGGTCCGTCGAATCGTCGGGAGAACGTTCGGATGAAACGGGCAGCAACCAACGATCCGTATGCTGCCCTTGCTTCCACCTCAGGATTGGGAAAGAGAGCATCTAGATTTCAAGATTCGAGTGTGCGTGACAACGCTGGCCAGCAGCATGACAACACGCACAATCCAGCCGGTGGTAGTGACGATTCGGCCTGTGGTGGGGGGCTGGGGGCGGAAGATGGTGAGGCGGGTGGTGTTGGAGATTGGTTCAATGATGGCAGGAAAGTTGGACGCTCTGACCCAGCAACTCCACCCCCGTTCGCATCGGCAAGAGGCAATTCCCCGCTCGACGCTAGCGGAGTGCCCATCATTACCTCGAGAAATTCTCCTAATGAATCCATGCAGCAACTCTTCCGGGCATTGCAGGAAGCTAATCGGCAGATTGCCGAGCTAAAGGCCGGTCGTGGACCTTCGGTGGACCGGGGGGGAAGTGGGACGCAAATCCCGCCACTTACCTCGATATCCAGTGAACAACCTGAGCCGCCTGAAACGCCGGGCGCTGTGGCGGAGAGCGCTGTACAAGGCACTCCCATCACCAGGAGGCATGGGATGCCAAACGCGACTAATTTGAAGGTAAGTGCCACCAATTTCTCCTACCGATTGCCACACCTGACTCGCTGGCTTGCTCATTATACGGTTTTGTTTGACCAATGGTGCATTTTCATTCTCTTTCTCCAGTTGTCTAGTTTTTCCCACTCTCTGGTCACATTCCCACTCTCTGGTTTCCTTCTATGCACTGATTCATTCTCATTCCCACCCTCTGGTCCCATTCTCTGCAGTGACTCATTCACATTCCCACTCTCTGGTTTCCTTCTCTGCAGTGATTCATTCTCATCCCACCCTCTGGTCTCATTCTCTGCAGTGACTCCCACTCTCTGGTTTCCTTCTCTGCAGTGATTCATTCTCATCCCACCCTCTGGTCTCATTCTCTGCAGTGACTCCCACTCTCTGGTTTCCTTCTCTGCAGTGATTCATTCTCATCCCACCCTCTGGTCTCATTCTCTGTAGTGACTCCCACTCTCTGGTTTCCTTCTCTGCAGTGATTCATTCTCATCCCACCCTCTGGTCTCATTCTCTGCAGTGACTCCCACTCTCTGGTTTCCTTCTCTGCAGTGATTCATTCTCATCCCACCCTCAAGGCTCATTCTTTGCAGTGACTCATTCACATTCCCACTCTCTGGTTTCCTTCTATGCACTGATTCATTCTCATTCCCACCCTCTGGTCCCATTCTCTGCAGTGACTCATTCACATTCCCACTCTCTGGTTTCCTTCTCTGCAGTGATTCATTCTCATCCCACCCTCTGGTCTCATTCTCTGTAGTGACTCCCACTCTCTGGTTTCCTTCTCTGCAGTGATACATTCTCATCCCACCCTCTGGTCTCATTCTCTGCAATGACTCCCACTCTCTGCTTTCCTTCTCTGCAGTGATTCATTTTCATCCCACCCTCTGGTCTCATTCTCTGCAGTGACTCCCACTCTCTGGTTTCCTTCTCTGCAGTGATTCATTCTCATCCCACCCTCTGGTCTCATTCTCTGCAGTGACTCCCACTCTCTGGTTTCCTTCTCTGCAGTGATTCATTCTCATCCCACCCTCAAGGCTCATTCTCTGCAGTGACTCATTCACATTCCCACTCTCTGGTTTCCTTCTATGCACTGATTCATTCTCATTCCCACCCTCTGGTCCCATTCTCTGCAGTGACTCATTCACATTCCCACTCTCTGGTTTCCTTCTCTGCAGTGATTCATTCTCATCCCACCCTCTGGTCTCATTCTCTGCAGTGACTCCCACTCTCTGGTTTCCTTCTCTGCAGTGATTCATTCTCATCCCACCCTCAAGGCTCATTCTCTGCAGTGACTCATTCACATTCCCACTCTCTGGTTTCCTTCTATGCACTGAGTCATTCTCATTCCCACCCTCTGGTCCCATTCTCTGCAGTGACTCATTCACATTCCCACTCTCTGGTTTCCTTCTCTGCAGTGATTCATTCTGATCCCACCCTCTGGTCTCATTCTCTGCAGCGACTCATTCCCATTCCCACTCTCTGGTTTCCTTCTATGCACTGATTCATTCTCATCCCACCCTCTCTTCCCGCTCTCTTTACCTGTCTCTTTCCCATTGCCTTCCCTTTCCTTTCCCTCCTTCCGGCTCGTCCCCTCTATCATCCCTTCTCTCTGCCCTCGATGCATGCGCCGTGGCGCCTCCCCTGCTTTTTGAGTCAACTCAAATGCCATCTTTCCCCTTTTCTCTGCACTCAATGTTTGTGTCGTGCCGTGGCACCTCTGCCTCCCTCTCCGTGCCACAGGAACATGCAGTCTTAACTTTCCACCAAAAATCCTCGTAAAAACTCTCCACCTTGTCACCCTTTGTTCCACATGGTTACCTTCTATGCCCTTGTCTTTCAGTTCCTTTCCATCCCCGCGTGTCATATGTAACAGTGTGTCTTTCTATTTGTTTTGAGGTCTCAATCTCTATATCAATCGAACTTCTACCCTACCTTTGTGTTCTTCCTCAGCCTGAGAGGGCAGGGAGTGGGAGAAGATGCGTCCGTTCGTTCAAGGCACCAGGAGGCAATAGATGCACTGAGAGTGGCAATGGAAGCTCATATAAGTGCTCTGGAAGGGCACCTGGAGCAGACAAGGAGGAAGCTGGAGGAGACAAGGAAGGGGCTGGAGGAGGGTGAAAGAATGAGAGCAGGGGATTTGAAAGGACGAGTGGAGGACAATGAAGGAGAGGTGATGAATGTGGCGAGGGAGTTGGTAGCAGTAGTGCAGGAAGAGTTGGTAGCAGCTATGAAAGGGGGGGGGGGGGGGGGGGGGGGGTGACAGCAGTCAAAGGGGAGTTTGTGGGGGAGTTGATAGCTTTGAAGGAAGAGTTGGTGGGGGTTAAGGGGGGAATGGTAGCAATCAAGGGAGAGTTGGTTGAGGTGAAGGGAGAGCTGGTTACAGTGAAGGGGCAGGTGGTTGAACAGGACTGCTTGCAAGAGGTGGAGAAGGAAGGGAAGGACGGGATGCGCACTAATGAGGATGTAGATTGGGTGAGCGTGGCAGTGGATGGACAGGTGGCAGCAGTGGAGCAATGCCAAGTGCCAACGCATGCGGATCCCGATGTTTTGGAAGAGGAAATGGACATTGAAGAAGCGATCAGAGCGATATTCAATGAGGAAATGGATGTATCACAGCAAGCTGGGTAAGTCTTCCAGTGCTTAGGTAAGTAACCAGGCCAGAGCACATCGAGGGTAAGCACTTTGATAGTGTTCTGTTCATCATCTCATCTGAGAGTCCTCCATCGACGTTCTGACTCCTTCCACGCTTGCACACTACTTCTTCACACTCTCTATTCATAAGAAGCAAAGCGCAAGGATTGAGCATGCTGCTTGGCGGCCCATCTTCATCTGGATGGGTTACGCTCCCATGAAGATGAGCCACTAAGCAACATGCTTGATCCCCTGATATTCTAGTTGCCAATAAAGCAATGAAGCAAGCGGAATATTGTCGTGCGGAGGTTGTCAACTTGGAAAAAACCTTTCAAAACGTGTTGACCACATCTGTCCAAATGGTAAACATCCTCTGCATAAGAAAATCGCGTTAGCCCGGGGAGGTTGGAATAGAAGGTTTGTTGACATTTGCACCCGTGTGTGTCATATGTCACTGTTCTTTCATTCCTGAAGTGTCATTTCCTTTATCCACTGACCCCCTGGCCTTGTTTCCTTTCTCAGCCAGAGAGCGCAGGAAGTGAGAAAAGATGATTTCGTTCGTTCAGGGCACCAGGATGCAATAAATGTGCAGAGAGTGGCCATGGAAGCCCGGATAAGTGCACTTGAAGGGCAGCTAGAGGAGGCAAGGGAGGGATTGGAGGAGACAAAAATTTAATTGCAGGAGACAAGGGAGGGATTGGAGGAGACAAAAAATGAATTGCAGGAGACAAGGGAGGGATTGGAGGAGACAAGTAAGAGGTCGGAGGAATCAAGGAAGCAATTGGAGCAGACAAGGTATGACTTGGAAGAGACACGGGGGGTGGTGGAAGCAGTAAGAATGAGACAAGAATATTGGTGAATGTGAAAGAGCTTAGTAGGCAATTGGAGGATATAAACGAAGGAGTTGAATGCGAAGAGGGGTAGCTGGTAGCAGTCACGGTGAAACTGGTAGCAAGAAAAGGGCAGTTGCCTTGCACACAATGGCTTCATGGTGAATGCCGCCAAGGCAGAGCTGCTGGTGAGGAGGATGTGAGCAAGCTGAGTATGGCAGTAAATGGGCAGGGCAGAAGTGGAACAGTGCCAGTCAATCACCAAGCTACGAGGAGCTCTATGTTGAGGAGCAATTCAGAACGAGCAGAGTACATGCAATGCAAGACAAGCCGTTGTGGCTGTATTTGGCTTGGTCTATTTGAAACGTATCCTCATACTCGCTATGCGTGTGCTCTGTGCCTTTCCTGCTTTAGCATTTTCTTCTTCTACCATATTTACTTTCACAAGAATCTTGAGTTCCTGTCGCTCACCTCACGTTGTGAGGCCCGTATGAACTCGTATGAACCGCGACGTGCTAATGGGTCCGTTTTGTGTGTTGGCAGAGAAAGGTCTAATCAGAAATACCATTTCACACCTAGATTTTTGGAAAGTCATATTTTCTCCTTATCGATATAGGAGCGATCGGTGTTAGCGGGAGGATCTTGGATAGGGTAGGAGGTACTTTGGTAGAGTTGGTAGCGGAAGTCTTGTAAGAACTCAGATCATAGTGAATGTAGATGACCAAGTTGATCTAAAAGATAGAATACAAGGAATATAAATAGTCCTAGTCTAGCCATGTACTCTAAGGGGTACATTCCCTTATTATAACTGTTTTACAGGCATTTCTACAGTGACTCTGAATGTTGTACTGCCTTTCTTGTTACCAAGTCGCTGCATGTAGCCTGTACGGTTATGCCTGTTGCCATTCCTCGATGGTGAGTCAAGCGTCGGTCCAGATGGTCAACAATCGCGACCGTTGACTCTTGCGACTGTTGACCTTCTTGCCCTTGTTACGGGCTGATCCGATATTGCGGTAGTTGCTGTTTCGATAGAGTCAGGTGCGATACTGCTGCACCAACGGGAATGCTAAGTATGATTCCCTTCACACTCCAACACTCCACTTCATTCCTGGAGGTGCGCCACGTGGCTTTTGCGAGTGACTCCGCACAGGTCTAAGCAGTACTGGAACTTCTGACGTGGCAGTTTCTTCGTGAGGAAATCAGCTGTCATTTCGCCAGTTGGACAGTAGACGAGCTGGATCTTTCCTTGGTCCATTTCGTCCTTCACGAAGAAGTAACGCAGGGCGATGTGTTTCGTGCGGTTGACGAAGCCTGGCTTGTTTGCGATTTTTATCGCGCTCTGGTTGTCGTGCGGTTGACGAAGCCTGGCTTGTTTGCGGCGGAGAGATGAATTGTGTCCGCGGTCTGAGTGATGTTGAGGCCGAGGAATTGAGTAACCTCATGGTCGATCGTGACCTCCAGTTTCTCCTGAATTTCGCGTTTGAAGCGATCGAGCAGGTCGTTGTCATCGCCGGTGTAGAGAAGGTCGTCGACGCAGGCGACGAGAAGGATGAAGTGGCCGCGGGATTCGAGGCGGTACATCCCCTGATCGTGGGGAAGCTGCTAGAAACCAAGCTCGGTGAGGACGCCGTGAAGATGCTGCTGCCACAGGCGTGGTGCCTGCCTGATGCCGTACAAGGACTTCTGCAGGAGACAGACTGCGTCGCCGTCTTCTTCAAACGCATGTGGCTGCTCAACGTAGATGATAGCATCGACGATCGCGTAGAGGAACGCGTTGGAGACGTCGATTTTGCGAAGCGGGCGCTGTTTCACGGCGGTAATGCAGAGAAGAATGCGCACTGAGGTATGACAACCGACGGGTGCGAACGTCTGGTTGTAATCCACAAATTGTGTCTGCTCGAATCCGCGAACCACCCAGCGCGCCTTGAATTTCTCCACCGTTCCGTCCGCGAGAGTCTTGATGCGGAAGACCCACTTCCCTGTGAGGATTTTCCTCCCTTTTGCGTGGCGGCGTGGTACCAGCTTCCAGGTGCCGCGGCGTTGGAGTGCAGCGACTTCGGCAGCCATGGCGGCTCTCCACTTCTCAGCATCGGGCCCGTTGAGAGCCTGGCAAACGGTGGTGGGCTCGATCAGCTGCTGGTTACCCCGAACGGCGACAGCGAGGCCAAGAATGTGAAGGCCTGTGAGGTTGGATTCGGCTATGGTGGTAACTTCGACCACGTCGTCGTCGTCGCTAGGGATGTCGCGAAAGGTGTCGCGAGATGAGTCTCGAGCTGGGTCTTCATTCATGGGTGAGTGCATTTCTGCACTTGCATAATCGTGCTGTGCCTGTACTGCTTCATGTCAGAATGAGAAATAGGAATGGTTGTGACTAGCAGGAACAACAGTACAAATATGAAACCCTAATCTGGTGTACCCCCTAAGGTGTGACCCACTACAGCCTAGAACCACATAAACATATAATGTTTGACACACCCCCATAGGCAAAGTGGGGCAGACCTAGGGGTCACAAGACCAGTCAAGGTAAAACAAGGCAAACAAGCTCAGGGTGGATCTCGAGGATTCCACACAAATTCCGAGCACAAGTAAGCGGTCACAAGACCAGTTCACATGCAGTTTTATAAGAGAGCAAGAGGTACAATGATCACAACCTAGCAAGGGCAAACATGCAGGTATATATATAATGATCACAGTACAGGCAAAGTCAAGAAGTAAGCAAGTGAGGAACAGTCGGCACAAGGCCTAGAAGAGTGCAAAATCGCTGATGGTCAACAGGCGGAAGCGCCTTGGTGAACACATCAGCAGTGTTGGCCTCAGTGGCCACGTAACGCAGAAGAAGCTGACCACGCTGCTGTAGCTCTCGAGCTAGAAAGTAACGCAGAGCAATGTGCTTCGTCCTGTGCTCCAGTCTGTGCTCCTGACACAAGGCTATAGTTGCCTTGTTGTCGACGTACAGCACTGGAGGAGAACGAGGCTGCTCTCCAAGGTCAGTCAGCAGGTAGGTGAGCCAGCGAAGCTCCTGGGCAGCCATGGCCGTGGCGTAGATCTCAGCCTCACAGCTGGAGCTGAGAACAGAAGAAGAACGAGTAGAACGCCAAGAGACAGAGCCAGAGCCAAGACTGAAGGTGTAACCCTGAGACGACCGCTGAGTAGCCTGGTCGTCTGCCCAAGAAGCGTCTAAGTGCCCAGTGAGAACAGGCCGGTCTCGCCCTCCAAGCACTAGCCCCATGCCCGACGTACTGCACAAGTAGCGCAACACCCTCTTAGCTGCATCCATGTGCTCCTTCCGGTGACGGCCGGGAGCGACATAGCGTGCTAAGATGCTGAGAGGGTATGCAAGGTCAGGTCGAGTGCAGGTCATCAGGTACATGAGGCAGCCCACAAGCTCTGGATACGGACCACTCGGCTCTACGGACTCATCCGAAGGCAGAGCTGAGAGCGAGTGTCCCGTAGGCAGAGGAGTGGACTGAGGCGAGGAGTACGTGAAGCCGAAGCGCTGAAGGACCTGCTGCACCATGTGTGACTGAGTCAAGGTGATGGTGCGCCGTGCTCTGTCCCGGGTGATCCGCAAGCCAAGATAGCTTGTCAGTTCACCCAGGTCTGTGCACGTGTGTCTCTTCTGCAGCTCGGACTTCACGTGATCGAGACCAGCTGTGTCAGAAGTGGCAAAGACCAAGTCGTCGACGTACACGAGGATGTAGAACGGCGGCAGTGAGGTGTCGGTGCGTAGAAACAGCGACGGGTCAGCAGTAGAAGGAGCGAACCCAAGAGCCGCAAGTGTAGTCCTCAGTGTGTCGTGCCACTCACGTGGCGCCTGGCGGAGACTGTAGACTGGCCGCCGGAGGCTCCACTGGGTACCAGGAGGGAGCGACCCAGTGAAGCTAGGTGGGCGGCGCAGCCAGATCTCCTCGTGCAGGCTGCCCTGCAAGAAAGCTGTACTGAAGTCAAGAGAGTGGAGCTCGTAGTCACGCTGAGCGGCGACGTGTAGCAGAACCCGAAGAGTGGTCATCTTCGGGGTCGAGGAGAAGGTCTGGAAGAAGTCAACTCCCTCTCGCTGACTGAAGCCTCGTGCAACGTAACGCGCCTTGAAGACAGGCGGAGAGCCCGGCGGCCGCTTCACCCTGAAAATCCACATGCCACTGACGATGTTCGCCCCAGGTGGGGGAA